AACTAAAAAAAAAAAAAAAAAAAGTGGGAAACTTGCTGACCACTCACAACCTGTCACCTGTCATCCTAAGTCCTTCATATATGTTCAAGGGAAACATTTAAGGGCCAGCCAAGGAGAAGTCAGTAAGAAACATTTAATTATCTGCCTTAGAGTGGGTGTATGGAATGATGGTTACAAACCTGGGTTCTTTACTTTTGCTTTTTTGGTGAAAAGAAATAAAAACATCCTGGACTCTGAAGAGACTGAGGTTCAAACACTAAGTCTGTCCTAACTAGCTGTGGGACTTTCACAAGTGACCTCACCTCTCTGTGCCTCAGTTTCTCCATCTGTAAAACAGGAGATGATAATAGTTGCTGCTTCAGAAAGTGGCAAAGACGAAATGAGTTAAATATTTAGGGAGGGCTTGAAGCAGCACCTGGCTCCAAGTCAGCCCTCCCTGAGGGTCTGAGACTATGCCCCAAGCCAGAGGAGGGACAATTCTCTGGTAACCAGGCAGGGCTCCCAGCTCTTCCCTACTCCTGGAGAGAGCATTCAGGGTTGCAGCATCCAGACCAACCGGTCCTAGGTGGGGTTCCATTGGCCGGCTAAGCCCTGTGTCGTCCATGTGGACCTTGTCGGATATAAAAGCTTGAAGCCCCATCGGTTCCGTGTTCTTTAATTTCCCAGTTTCTCTGAACCCAGCTGGGCTCCTGCAGCTCACACTCACCCTCATGACCCCCTTAACAAGACTGTGAATTATGGATGGTTATTATTCCCAGGTTACAAATGTGTTCATTCCCAAAATATGTGCTGAACATCCACCTTGCCCCAGATGCTGTGCCAGGGGCAGAGGTGACATGACAGCCAGGGCGACAGAATCCCTGCCCTCGAGGCACTCACTTATTTGTTAGTCAGGGGCGAGAGTCACTCAGTCATTAAAACCAAAGTCAGCTGGGCTTGGTGGCTCAGCCTGTAATCCTGCGCTTTGGGAGGCCGAGGTGAGTGGATTGCCTGAGCCCGCGGGTTCGAGACCCGCCCAGGCAACTTGGCGAGACCTCATCTCTACAATAAATCAAAAATTAGCCGGGCATGGTAGCGCGTGCCTGTAGTTCCAGCTACTTGGAAGGCTGAGGCAGAAAGATTGCTGGAGCCCAGCAGGTCGAGGCTGCGGTGGCCAGGAGCGGCCACTGCACTCCAGTCTGGGCGACAGAGTGAGACTTCAACTCAAAAAAAAAAAAAAACCAACCAAAGTCAGGGCCAGGTGCGGTGGCTCACACCTGTAATCCCCAGCACTTTGGGAGGCTGAGGTGGGAGGATCCCTTGAGGCCAGGAGTTCGAGACCAACCTGGACAACATAGCAAAAACTTGTCTCTACAAAAAAAGTTAAAAAAATTGGCCAGGCATGGTGGCGTGCTCCTGTATTCTCAGCTCCTGCGAGGCTGGGGCAGAAGGATCACCTGAGCCCAGGAGGTCAAGGCTGCGATGAGTCTTTGCCGCTGCACTCCAGCCTGGGTGGCAGAGAGAGAACCTGCCTCAAAACAAAACATAAAAAAACTGAGCATCTGGAACAAAACCCCCAAATCAGTCCATAACAAGTTAAGAATCAATAAGCATTGCAGGGAGAATGAGTCTGAGGAATGGGAAAGTGAAGTCCCGGATAGGGAGTTGCACATGTACAGCAGGACAGATTTGTTGAGAAGGTGACAGAACAAAGACTTGAAGGAGAGGTGGGAGCGGATGAGTGGACATCTGGGGAAGAGTGTTCAGGGAGCAGGAGGGAAGCCAGTGTGGCTGGAGAGCAGTGAGCCGGGGGAAAGTGGGCGCAGAGAAATCGCAAAGGGCCAAAGAGGAGCCTTGATGAAGAACCCAAGGTCGTAAGAGACTAATACCAGGTTGCACGTATGGCACTTAGCACAGGCTGGCTACTGTTCTAAGTACTTCCCGTGTATCAATTACAAGTCACTTGGCTGGTTCCATCTTGTCTCCTCACTGGAAAATGGGGCTTGGGAGAACCCTTGTCTACAGGGATCGTGATGAAGTTGAAAAAAGATAGTATAAGAAGTTACCTGGCTGGGCCTGGTGGCTCACGCCTATAATCCCAGCACTTTGGGAGGCAGAGGCGAGAGGATTGCCTGAGCCCAGGGGTTCGAGACCAGCTTGAGAAACTTTGCAAGACCTCTTCTCTTCAATAAATCAAAAAAGTAGCTGGGTGTGGTGGCATGCGCCTGTGGGTCTAGCTATTGGAAGACTGAGGCTGAAGGATCGCCTGAGCCCAGCAGGTCGAGGATGCAGTAGCTATGATCGTGCCACCACACCCCAGCCTGGGTGACAGAGTGAGACTCCAACTCAAAAAAAAAGAGGAAAATTTAGCTATTAGTTATAATAACAATGGTATTGAGTGTCCATCAGGTGCTGGCACTGTCTGGTCTTGATTATGTCCAGACACATCTCACATATTAACCCATTTTATGCACACAACAACTCCAGGAGGTAGATATTATTATCTTAATTTTACAGAGGAGAAAACAGGCCCAGAGAGGTCCACAAATAGCCCAAGGTCACACAGTAAGTGGTAGAGTCGGGATTCAAACCCTAATTCTGGGCTCATAAACACCTCAGTAAAGAGTATCTCTCTGATATTGCTACTTTTCCAATTTCTCGCAACTTCTAAACTTTCTCTCCCTTCTTGGGGTGGGAGAGAGGAGGCTTAGGTCCTGGAAGGGTCCAGTGGTCCCGAGCCCCTCTCCTCTCTCCTGCTGTCCCCCAGAATCTCCAGGTCTCGTGCCTCAACGCTGAACAGAACCAGCACCTCCAGGCCTCCCTAAACCGCTTGCACCGGGTGGCACAGGTAACACCTTCTGCCGTGGTCTGGCTCTGCTGCCCCTGCTGGACACCCTGGGGCTCTGACCACTGTCTCTCACCGTCAGCATGCCCGGGCTCAGCATGTCAGGATCCTGGTGGATGCTGAGTATACCTTGCTGAATCCTGCACTCTCTCTGCTGGTGGCTGCCCTAGCTACGCGCTGGAACAGCCCAGGAGACGGGGGGCCCTGGGTGTGGAACACGTACCAGGCCTATCTGAAGGTGTGTGGGACACTCCAGGGGGTGTGGGCTGGAGTCCCAGGGCCCCGACCCAACCGAGCATACCTGTGTGCCCTGCAGGATACATACGAGCGGCTGGGACGCGAGGCTGAGGCCGCGCACAGGGCTGGCCTGGCCTTCGGTGTCAAATTGGTAAGAGGCGCATATCTGGACAAGGAGAGAACGATGGCCCAGCTCCAAGGGACTGAAGATCCCACTCAGCCCAACTACGAGGCCACCAGTCAGAGGTAGGCCTGGGCCAGCCGGCCTTTGAGGGAAATAACAGTCCCTACCCTTCAGTTAGAGCCCTGGGTTCTTTATCAAGGCTCCTGGGCAGATCATCCTTTGTGTGTCCACACGATGCTCCCTCTTCCGGTCTGGGACATGAGAATGTCCCACTTGGATGGTAGCCTCCTCTTGACCTCCCTGCTCTCTCCTGTGTCCTCCTCCCATTATGTGTCCCCCACTTGCAGGCAGTTTTGCTTGTTTGTTTATTTTTTGAGTTGGAGTCTCACTCTATTGCCCAGGCTGGAACACAGTGGCATGCTCACAGCCATCGCAGCCTTGACCTGCTGGGCTCATATGATCTTTCCACCTCAGCCTTCCAGTAGCTGGAACCACAGGCCCGTGTCACCATGCCTGGCTAATTTTTTTTTTTAATTGTAGAGACGAGGTTCTGCCAAGTTGCCCAAGCTGGTCTCAAATCCCTGGGCTCAGACAGTCCTCTGGTTTTTGTCTCCCAAAGTGCTGGGATTACAGGTGTGAGCCACTACGCCTGGCAACTTTTTTTTTTTTTTTGAGTCAAAATCTCACTCTGTCACCCAGGCTGGAGTGTGGTGACACAGTTATGGTTATTGCAGCCTTGACCTGCTGGGTTCAGGGAATTCTTCCGCCTCAGCCTCCAGAGTAGCTGGGACTACAGGCGTGCACCACCATGCCCAGCAATTTTTTGATTTATTGTAGAGATAAGCTCGAGCCATGTTGCCCAGGCTGGTCTCAAACTCCTGGGATCAGGCGATCCTCTTGCCTCGGCCTCCCTAAGTGCTGGCATTACAGGTGTGAGTCACCACACCTGGCCTGCAGGCAGAGTTAACACCTGAGTCAGATCATGTTCCTCCTCGGTTCAAATTCCTCCCATGGCTCCCACGACACTCTCAATAAAGTCCAAAGCCTCACAGTGGCCCACAGGCAACATGATCTGGTCCCTGTCACTTCTCTAACTTCTCCTTCTGCCCTTCCTCTCACTCTTTGCACTCCAGACACACTGGCCTCCTTGACAGCTGCATGGTCCGATCCCTCACCTCCTTAAGTCTTCACTTCTTGGTGCCCTCTCAGGGGGCCACAGGGACATATTCAGAATACAGGGCAAATGGCCAAGCCAAGGCTAGAAACTAGGCTCGTATCCAAGACCTGTGAGGGCTCCCTGGCACGTTTGTGTACCATAGACTTAATAACTGGCACCAAGCTGGGTGTGGTGGCATGCACCTGTACTCCCAGCTGTTTGGGAGGCTGATGTGGGAGGATTGCTTGATTCCAAGAGTTCAAGGCCAGCTTGGGCAATATAGTAAGACCCTCATCTTTAAAAACACAAAAATTAAAAAATTAATAATTCACGTTGTTATTTTTTTGGGGGTCTAATCTGCATATCATAAAATTCACCATTTTAACAATTCAGTGGGGTTTAGTATATGCTCAAGGTTGTGCAACCATCACCACTATGATTCCAGAATGTTTTCATCACCGCAAAAAGAAACCTCCTATCTGTCAGCAGTCACCTTCCATGCCCTTCTCCCCTCAGCCCCTAGAAACCACTCCTCTGCTTTTTATCTCTGTGGATTTGCCTATTCTATTTCAAATAAGTAGAAATATATGACACATAATAGAAATATGTGACACATATTAGCATCATGTTTTCAAGGGTCTTCTATGATGTCACATGTAGGGGCACATCATTCATTTTACAGCTAAATCATATTCCGTTGTATGGACGTACCACATTATGTTTATCCGTTCACCAGTTGATGTTCATTTGGATGGTTTCTGCTTTTTGGGAGGCAACATATTTTGAATATTCAAAAATATTCAACAATATTCTGAATATTGTTGCTACAAACATTCATGTTCATTTTTGTGTGAACCTACATTTTTAATTCTTCTGGATATAGACCTAGGAGTGGAATTGCTGGATCATATGGTAACTCTGTGTTTGACTTTTTGAACAACTGCCAGATGATCTTCTAAAGGGGCTGCATCATTTTATATTTGCACCAACAATATATGAGGGTTTTTATTTCTCCACATCCTTTCCAATACAGAATCACTAATGTTTTAATATAGATTTTGAATAAATAATAAATTCATGTGGTTCAAAAACACAAGTCATATGAAAATGAATATGATGACATATTTCACTTCCACCAATGTCCCTGTCAGTTTCTTACCTGTGTTTCCTAAGTTTCTTTAGGCATGTACAGGCACATATAAGATATCTTCTTGTTGATTTTATTTTTAATGCAGAATGCATTGTTTCTGCAAACTGCTCCTTGCTTTTCCACTCAACTGCCTATCTTAAAGGCAAAATGATCAGTAATAATGAGCCCGGGCTCTGGAGCACCGCTTAGCCTGAGTTCAGATCCCAGCTTAGCCACTTGGAGTTGTCCGATCAGGAAGACAAGAGAACCCCTCTCAGCTTCAGTCTCTGCATCTGTTAAATGGGGATGACAAGCAAATCTACTTCACAGAGTTGATTTGAGAATTAGATGAGTGATTAGATTTTCCCAGAGGAAACAGGAGTTCGCCAGGGATTTAACTAAAGGAGAGTTAGTGAAGGGACTGTTTACAGAAATGTGGGCAGGTTAGGGGAACTTCCCACAAAGAAGGTTGAGGCACCCAGGAACACACAAGAGCAGGAAGCTGTTTCAACCCCTGTGCTAGAGCTGAGAGAGAGGAGGGCCCCCTATAGGGGAGCTGTGACCACACAGAGGACAGAGTCAGGGTGAGCAGGGGACGGGCCAAGGGCCAAAATGCCAGCTGTCTCTCTTTCCACCTCCTGACCTCCTGCACATGACTCGACACGTGATGCAGGACCCAAAAGTCAGCTTCTTGAGGGGCAGAGACCAGACCTGGGGAGCAAGGTGAATACTCAGCATAGGGTATACAGTACACAGGTGGCACGTGGCCTGCAACGAGTGTGGAAAGCATCTGCCAGTCCCTCTACCGCTCTGCCCATCTCAGTGCCCAGACAGCGACCTTGTTCTTTTTCACAGCTGTGTGGTATTTCATTATCCCCTGTGTGCCACCGTCCACTTAGCCAGTTCCCCACTTATAGACGTTTGGGGTGCTGCTGGGCATGTTCTGTCGACAGTGTGCTGTGAATAACCTTGGGCAAATGCCAACTTGTGCGTGGGATGTGATCCTTTGCTGTGAGATCGCCATTGAGCCAAAGACTTAATATACACACTCACAGCCGGGCTTGGTGGTTCAGCCTGTAATCCCGTGCGTTGGGAAGCTGAGGTGAGTGGATTGCCTGAGCCTGCGGGTTCGAGACCCGCCTGGGCAACTTGGCGAGACCTCATCTCTACAATAAATCAAAAAAATTAGCTGGGTGTGGTAGCGCGCGCCTGTAGTTCCAGCTACTTGGAAGGCTGAGGCGGAAGGACTGCCGGAGTCCAGTAGGTCGAGGCTGTGGTGCCCGGGAGCGGCCACTGCACTTCAGTCTGGGCCACAGAGTGAGACTCCAACTCAAAAAAAAATACACACTCACCTCCCTCCATCCTCAAAACGACGCTCGGAAGTGAACTCACAGTTACAAAAGAGGAAAGTGGCTCAGAGAAGGATGTCCCTTGCAGCTGAGGCAGATGGAACGGGGATACTTGCTGACTCAATACCCTGGAGCACCCCACTACCCAGTCCCTTGTGCTGACCCTCCCTTGCCAGGTGAGCTGAATGGAGCATCTCCGTTCAGTTACAGCCGCTGCCTGGAGCTGATGCTGGCCCACGTGTCCCACCACGGCCCCATGTGTCACCTCATGGTGGCTTCCCACAATGAGGAATCTGTTCACCAGGCGACCAAGCGGTATGCGGGGGTGGGGGGGTGGGGGGGGTGGGAAACAGGTATCCACAAGGAGCCTCCCCTCCTCTCCCTTGCTCACATGCCAGGGATGGGCAGAAGGTGGAGGATGTGGAACAAGAGAAGGTACAGTGAGGTATTCTGGGAGGATATTAAAAATATCCTGCTGTGCCTGTGGGTTCTGGGGGCCCCAGACAAGGCACTGTCCTTTATTTGCTGGGGAATGGGGAGGTGTAAGGACTCCGGGGAAGTGGCTTGGGCTCACTGGGGGGCTTTCAAGGAATGCAGAAGGGTGGCTGTTTATCATCGAGTTTGGAAAGATTTCAATATTTGAATTACTGGAACAGCTATATGGGTGTGTCATGGCTGACCTGCAGTCACTGTCTAGACTGCTGATTGATGATGTGACCTTGCAGCCACTGTCTGGATTGATGATGTGACCTTTTCTGTAGCATGTGGGAGCTGGGCATCCCTCCGGATGGGCCTGTCTGCTTTGGACAACTTCTGGGCATGTGTGACCACGTCTCCCTGGCACTGGGTATGTGAACAGCTTCTCCCGCAGCCCAACCTCAAGCCTGAGGCCTCACTCCCTCTCAGTCAGATCCCTTCTGCTATTCCTAACCAAGGCTGGCCAGACTCCCGTCCAGAGCCTGCAGTTGGCCCGGCCTCCAGACAGATCTGCTATTCCAATATCAGAGGGCCTTCCGGGGCTGTCTCTGTGTCTGCTGTCTGTTGTTTCTGCCGGTTCTTGATCATGGTGTCCTGTGTCCTGTGTGCTTTGTTATCTTTACTGGGCTGCTTCCCAGGCCTGAGACCAGATGCTTTATGTTTTCTTCTGCCAGATGCTATGGGGTACGCAAATCACTTAAATCCCAGCTTGAGGTTTCTTGAGACATCCAGTGATGTAAATCTGGGCTGCAAATACACGAGGGGACTAGCCCAGTGCCATCACCTCTGAGATAGATTTTTCTGTTTTCTTCCCTGATCTGCTCATGGCCAAGGCCATTCCCTGGGAGTGGGGGAAGGTTGGAGGGCTGACTTTTCATTAACTCTTACTCTGAGGGTGTAGCTTTTCTGGGTTCCAGCTTAATTTGAGGACATCCTCCCTTATAAATTTCACCTGGGTCAGGCCTTGAGCTGTGAAGGCATCAAAGAACTGCTCGATTTTTCCTTTCAGGAAGAAGTGGCTTCCTGTGTGTCCCTTCTCTCTCTCTCTCTGAGTTCTCACTTTCTCTTAATTTTGGATTAGTAAATTTTTTACTCTCTTGGCAACATTTTAATAACTTTAAGGATTTAAGTGATCAATTTTATCCAATTCACTGAGTCTGCCATACTCTCATAAGTGGAGGTCTCTGTTCCGAATGGGGGCTGGGGAGCCTCCCCAGACAGAGACCATATTCTGCCAACACTCTCTCCCCAGGCCAGGCAGGCTACGCAGTGTATAAGTCCATCCCCTATGGCCCCCTGGAGGAGGTGATCCCCTACCTGATCCGGAGGGCCCAGGAGAACCGCAGTGTGCTTCAGGGTGCCCGCAGGGAAAAGGAGCTGCTCAGCCAAGAACTGCGGCGGAGGCTGCTGAGGGGAGGCCTAAGGGTACCCCATTAGCACCCCTGGGAGTCATGTGGTCAATAAAGGTCTTAAGCTACTGCCCAGGCTGCTGTCCTGCACTGAAACTGTCTTCTTGGGGAAGGGTTCATCTTGATCTCAGCCAGACCAAGCTAAGGGACTCTATAGCTCAAGAACGCACTTTAGATGATCCTAGCGCACAGCAAGGCCATCAGTCAAGGATTAATGATGCCTTCCCCCAATTCTGAGGCTGCCCACCCTGTGATAGGTCTGGTCAGTGACTGACATGGGAATTTTTTTCATCCAGTGGATGTCCAAATGAAGAACACTGAACCACTGAAGTCAAAGCTGGGCCGAGGCCACATGGTCAGGGAGGGACAGAAGGAAGAGACAGGCTTCTCTCTCAGTTCATGTGCACTGAATGAGGCCCCTTCTGAGCTAGGTTCTGAGATGAACAATGCTGGGGACACAACAGTGACATAATCTCAGGCCCTGCCACCCGTCTCTTAGTCCGGTGGGGGCAGATAGAACTATCTTTAGACAGTGACAGCCCAGAGTGGTCAGGGCTGTGATAGAGGAAACCCAGGCAGAGTAGTGGAAGTCAGAGGGAGGCCAGAGGAGGCACTGACATACACTGGGGAGATCAAGAGGCATCCCAGAGAATTCACGAGAATAACCAATGAAGATTGAGAAGAGCATTCAGAGGCAAGGGTATGTGTACGAACAGTGTGTGTGACACGGACTGGGGAGTGGGGAGGCAAGGCTGGAGGGATAGGCGGGACCAGATGATACAGTGTTAGATGCCAGACTGCAGGACTTGGACTCTGTCCCAGGGGTACTGGGGGCTCGGGAGGGTCTCAGGCCGGGGAGGGACAGGGGCAGGAAGACCCTCCTGGCTACTATGTAGAGGGTGGACCAGAGAGGGGAGACAGGCGGGGAGCCCAGGAGAGGCTGGGACAGGTGGGCTACAGGGAGGGCAGGAGGGGGCTGCTGGAGGTTGAGGACGGGAGGGGAACTACTGCGCAAGCGCGGCAGGAGGCCACTGCCGCGCATGCGCCTGGGATTCCCGCTCAGACAGCGCCGAGGTCATGTGGCAGTCACGTGGTGACCACGTTGGAGACCAACGGTAAGTGCAAAGCCACCTGGCCTGGGGACGGGGCTGAGGATTTTCCTAGAGCTTCAGGGCCCCCAGGTCTCCCCCAGATCCCTCCTCCAGCCCTCAGAGTCCCCCTCAGAACCCCTTTTCATCAGCCCTCAGACCCCGCCCCAATATGGAAACTCCGCCTCCACTCTCAGGCCCCGCCCCACTAGGAAACTCTGTCCCCATTTCGTTGATTCCCCTCCCCGCCCCCCAGCAGACTCAGTCCTCAGGCCCTCCTGCCTTCGGTCCCCTCCCCCAGCCTGTAGCCCCTGTCCCCAACACCAGACCTCAAGCTACCGCAGACCTCAAGCTAGGCCCCCAGCCCACAGACATGCTTACAGCCCGCAGTCTGCCGTTCGCCGCCTTACCTCCTTCAGATCCCGGGGCACTGCTCTCAGACGCCACGTGTCCCTGTCAGGTCCCTTTCCCCAGCCCGCAGACCCTCCTCCCTTGGACTCCCTCACTACCTTTTAGGTCCTAAACTGCAGGCCGCTCTTCCAGCAACTGGCGACCTTCAGAGCCTCCTAAGCCCTGGCTCCTTTCTCACGCCCCTGTCCTAGCCTCACAGCCCTTTTACTACCCTTGCACGCCCTACCCCAGCCCTAAAACCCCCTCCCAGTCCTCGGATTTCCTTAGATCCCCTGGAGCTCTCAGTTTCCCCAAACCCTGTCCTTCTGGTATGTACGTATGTCCCAGAGCCACCCTTTCTCTCATTCAGATGCTTCCCTTAGGATCAGACCTATCCTGAATCCCCTTCCCATCTAGACTGCCCCCCAGGACTCCCAGCGACTCTGTTTGTATTGCTTTATTGTCCCCAGAGGTCCGGTTCTTCACTTCCTCCTGCCCTCATGAGACCCCTTAGCTGACCCTGGCCCAAGAGCTGACTGAGTCTGCAGCCCACAGATGCCCTCACGGCCCTCCCACTTCCCTGTGGAGCTGGGTTCTGTACAGGATCCAGACACCCAGGTGGGTCGTCTGCATCGTCTGGCTGTGGCCGGGGGCCCAAGATGGGGTCTGGTCAGGCTTCTACGGAGAGGTGAGGATCTGGCTGCTGGGACTGCCTGTAGAGGCAAGATCAAGGAGCAGTATGGAGGGTGTGGCTTCAGTTGGCCAGTCAGCAATTCTGTGCTGGGCACCCTGCCGTGTACTGAGCAAGCTCTGGGGTCCCTGAGGGGATTTAAGGGTGAACATGACCTCTGGGTTATTGTGAATGAAATAGGACACACTAGAAAGGATGGCTTTTCAGGTGGAGTGATACCTGAGTCATAAAAGCCAGTAATGCAAAAAGGGGGAAGGGGGAGATTCTTGGAAGACAGAAGAGCCTGTGCAAATGCCCTAAAGTCAAAATGAACTGTGCACGTGTGAGTAGCAGCCAGACTCAGGGAGTGCACTGAGGCTGAAAAGGCAGGTCCAGGCAGTCAGGGGCTTCAAAAGTTGGATTTTGTTCTGTGAATGAGGGGAAACCGTTGGCATTGTAAGCAGGAAATTAATATTCCTATGAACATTAACAATTTATCATTTGTTTTCAATACCTTCTGTAAATTGATTGTGTATCAGGCCACTTTCTGAACTTGCTTAATAGTTGTAATTGTTGTTTCTTCTAGTATTTTTGTTATCTGCAGGTGGTGACAGTTAGGTGTCAGCCCTTCAACTTTTTTAAAATTTTAATTTCTTTGTTTTTTTTTTGAGACAGGGTCTCACTCTGTTGCCCAGGCTGGAGTGCATTGGCATGATCACGGCTCACCACAGCCTCCACCTCCTGAACTCAGGCGATCCTTCCGTCTCAGTCTCCCAGGTAGCTGGGACTACAGGCACACCATACCTGGCTCAATTTTTTAAATATTTTTTTATGGAGTTGAGTTCCCACTATGTTGCTTTGGGTGGTCTTGAACTCCTGGCTCAAATAATCCTTCTGCCTCAGCCTCCCAAAGCACTGGGCGTACAGATGTGAGTAGCGGCACCCAGCCAGCCCTTCAATATGTAAACTCTAAATTTTTTTTCCTGTCTTAAGATATTGGCCATCACTCCCAAACCACGTTGGTGGTTTTCTTTATTGTTATTGTTCTTGATATTAAAGGGGATGAGTCCTACGTTTTTGGTTTATAACTTTTGTCAGGTAAGGGAGTTCCCACCTAAGATTTCTTTCTTTTTTTTTAAGAGACGTGATCTCACTCTGTCATCCAAACTGGAGAGCAGTGACTCGATCATAGCTCACTGCAACCTGGAACTGCTGGGCTAGAGAGATCCTACTGGGTCATTCTTCCAAGTAACTGGGACTCCAGGCACACGCCACCACTCCTGGCTAATTTTTAAAAAATTTTTTTAGAGACGAGAATCTTACTATGTTGCTCAGACTGGTGTCAAACTTCCAACCTCCATCAGTCCTCCCATCTCAGCCTCCCAAAGTGGTGGAATTTCAGGCGTGAGCCACCACACCCAGCCTCCCATCTAAGTTTTCTTAGGTGTTTTTTTCCTAATCATAAGTAAGTATTGAATTTTATCAAGTGCTTTTTCTGTGGCTACTGGATTAAACATGTGATTTTGCCCTTTAATCCACCCATAATTGTGTTTTATTTTTAATTTTATTTTTTGAGTTAGGGTCTCACTCTGTCACCCAGGCAGGAGTGCAATGATGTGACCACAGCTCACTGCAGTCTTAACCTCCTGGGCTTGGGCAATTCTTCTGCCTCATCCTTCTGAGTAGCTGGAACTACTGGGGCATGCCACCACAACTGGCTAATTTCTTAAATTTTTTTGTAGAGATGGGGTCTTGTTATATTGCCCAGGCTGGTCTTGAACTCCTGAGCAGTTCTCCTGCCTCAGCCTCCCAAAGTGCTGGCATTACAAGCGACAGCCACCACACCCAGGCTCATGTATGTGTTTTATTACATTGATAGATTTTCTCATGTCGAATCATCCTTGCTTTCTGGGATAAATTGATTTTACTTTATTTAGGATTTTTGCATACGTGACCTTAAATAGAATCGATATGTAATTTTTTCTGGTTCTGGAAGCTCTCATCTGGTTTTGGAATTGAGGTCATACTAGCCTCATAAAGTGAGCCTTGCTCTCTTTTTCTCTTTTTGGAAAAACTTATATAAGATAATCTACTACTTGAAATGATTCATGTTTTAAGAGGCCTCTTAGGCCGGGCATGGTGGCTCAAGCCTGTAATCCCAGCACTTTGGGAGGTCGAGGTGAGGAGATTGCCTGAGCCTAAGGGTTCGAGGCCAGCCTGGGCAACTTGGTGAGACCTCATCTCTCCAATAAATAAAAAAATTAGCTGGGCGTGGTAGCGTGCACCTGTAGTTCTGACTACTTGGAAGTCTTAAGGCGAAAGGATCGCCCAAGCCCAACAGGCTGAGGCTGAGGTGGCCGTGAGTGTGCCACTGCACTCCAGCCTGGGCGACAGAGTGAGACTCCAACTCAACTAAAAAAAGAGGCCTTCTTGGGGAAAGATGAGTACAGAAAGCCAGTTAGGATGCCGTTGCAAAAGGTGGTGGGCTACTGAGTGAAATGCGATGCAGTGAGTTTGGTGTCCAGAAGTTCCCGAAGGACCACATTTGGAGGGATTCTGTGACAGAGACCAAGCTGGGTTGGACCAAGTACATGATTGATTAGCCATGTCTACCAAGGGCATAGAGTGCAAGGACAAGGTTACCATGCAGTTGACCCCTCTCCCTCATAGGGACTGGAGGAAGAGGAACTGGTGAATGATGGATGAGGGGTGGGGAAATCCAGGGCTTGGGGCAGAGGATGAGTAGTTGGAAGGGAGATTTGAAGAGGGGGGTTGTGGGGGAGGGGATTGGTACATGCTTGGAGGTAGGGTGCGGAGGAGGTTGCTACTTGGATTTAGTCCTTAGATGCAGTTTTCAAAAATAAATTTAAGAGATTTCCTGATAAAATCTAGAAGGTTTGCTTTTCTTGAAGAACTGGATGCCGGCCTCAGGGGACCTGTATGTACATTACAGAGTTAGAGCTGAGTAGTGTTTGCCTGTCCTAGACAGTGTACTAGGCTCCCATAAGCCAAAGTCCCCATGAAGTCCACTTCCTCCTGGCCCTGGTGACCTTTGTGTGATTTTGACACCTCTGGGATGGGGGATGGATGTCTGCATGGCAGACAGATGTCTGTCACCCTGTGTTCCATTTCTGGGGACTTAATGGTGATTTTTGGAGCACTGTTTTGAGATGGATTCTGCGGCACCTGGAGGGTGGCGGTTCCAGGACACAGAGATGGAAACTGGGGCCAGTGGTCACCCAGTCAAGGAGGGACTGTGGAGATTGGGAATTGGCAAGAGCGTATGCCTAGTGACCCCCAGGAGTATGGGGTGGGGACAGTCCTAACACTGCCGCCCCTAAGTTGTCCAGGTAGATGCTGAGAACTCTGCTGGGCAGACGGGGCTCTTCCTCTCAGCGCTGCTGGGCCACGGCTCCACTGTGCGACTCCTTCTGGCCTTTGGTGCCAACCCCAACCAGTGAGTAGACAGGGGGTGGTGCCCCCACACTACCAGGGCTGAGTTTGTGCCCCGGGGAGCCTGAGAACCGGGGCTTCCGTCCCCTGAGGCTCTCCTTCATGACTCCTCTTCCATTCCCCGGTGAACCCCGTTCCCCTGTGACCCTTCTTGTCCTCAGCTAACCCATTCTCACTCACCAGCTACTGTTCCCATTCTCTGGGTGCCTTCCGTGCACTCAGTGAGCCTCTCGTCCCCCCAGAGACCTCACTGTGGCCTCAAGGGCCTTTCCCATCCCGATGTCCACCTCCCATGTTCACAGTGACGCCCCCCACCCCCCGGTCCCCCCACCCGGCCACTTTCTGTCCATGTTCAGTCCCTTTCCTAATCAGTTCCCAACCGTGTTGTTCTGCTGTAGCCGTTGCCTTGATGGCAGCACACCGGTGCACGCCGGTGCCTTCTCCGGCCGCGGCCTGGTGATGCGGCACCTGCTGCAGGCGGGGGGGGACTTGCGTCTGCGTGACCAGCAGGGTCGCACCCCGCAGGACTGGGCTGAGCAGGGTGGTGCCAAGCAGAGCTGGGAGGTGAGCCGTGGCCCTGGTGGGAGTGGGCGGGGCAGCAGGGCCAGCACCGCCACCTGGCCTCACCCCCGCGCGCCCCCATCCAGGTGCTGGAGCTGTTACAGCTCTGCCGTGCCCACATGTCAGCACTAGTGCATGGCAGCGAATTGGCACCCACTGCATCTCTGGGCCAGTTGCAGGCCAGATCTGGGAATAGCCTGCATGGCCCTCTGACCTCGCGGTGGCTGGTGCAGACTGACAGGTAACTGTCCACACCCCGAAGCCCACCCTCCGACCCGCCATGCCCAGACTTACCCTCGGCCTGCCCTTTATCCCAGGGTACTGAGGCTAGAACAGATCAGGAGGTCCCCCCAAGTCCCGGCCTTGGGGTTTGGCCAGGTAAGTGGGAAAGGTTGGGAGAGCGGGAACCGCCGCTGCTCTCTCTGTGTCTCATGGTCCTGTTTCCCACCCCCAGCTGAGCAGCCTGTGGCCACTGGGACTAGTGACAGGCATACCACTCGCGGACCCCAAGGAGCTGCTGCCAGCCCAGGGAGAGCCGGACTGCACCTACGAGAGCAGCTCCCAAACCCTCATGGCCAAGTGAGAGCCCTGCCCTGCCCTTGCAGATGCGAGTCCTGCCCTGCCTGGACCGGCAGCCTGGCTCCCTGCTCCCCTCGCACGGAAAGCCCCTTTGTCTCAGAGCCACGCTCTTCCCTTCCCGCCCCCAGCCTCCTGTGGAGGGGCCACCCTGTGACTGTGCGGCAGCTGAAGGCCCCCGGAGCCCAGCCTGACGTGTTGCTGGCTGACCTTCAGCACTGCAGGTGCTCCGCCCCAGCCTCCCAAGGCCGTCTCCCGCCTGCCCCTTGGCTCGAGTGTTGCACAGACGAGACCAGGGCACACAGCAGTAGCCAGGGTCAGTCCTCGCTAATGGGCCAGCACCGCGTGGAGCCCACCCACTGGAGTGACCGCTGACTGGGAAGCGGGTGCCAGTTCTGTGTGTGGTGTCCTGTAGGCCCCAGAAAGGAGGTGGGGTGGGGAGGGCTGCCGTGGACAGGGCATGAACTGGGTGCTGGCTCCACCACTGCTGGCTGTGTGACCCGGAGTCTCAGTTCTTCCTTTGACGGCTGGTGCGGATTGTCTTCTCCTGGCACGTGGTGGGTGGTCTGTGCCCAGGAGCGGCCTGCTCCCTATGTGGGTTGGGGCCTGCTTGTGAATGGCCTGCTCTCCTCCTGCCCAGCACCCTGCACCACCCCAACCTGTTGCTGCTGATGGCCCTGAGCCCCTCTGTGGACCCATCAGGGCTGTGCCTTCTCTTTGAGCCTGTGTGGCTGGGCTCCCTGCATGGAGTGCTGCACCTGCAGAGACCAAGAAGGGAGGCGCCTGGCACCGTGCCAGGTCTGTTGCCTGGCCCCCTTCTGCTGCAGGTGCTAGAGGCCCTGCTGTTCCTGCAGGCCCGCTGGTGTGCTCATGGTGGCCTCAGCTCCCATGCTGTGCAGCTGGTGCGGCCAGGTCTGGCTAAGGTGGGCAACCTGGAGCATGGGCGCCCACTGCGCCAACACCGCCTGCGGCCCAGGTGAGTGCCTGCCCCACCTACCCGCTCCCATGTTTCAGTCCTGCAGCCACTGGCTCACCAGGTGCCTCCGGCCCCACAGGCCAAAGCCGGGCTGCTGCTGGGGAGGCCCAGGCCCAGGGCTGCCCCCGCCCCCCGAACTGTACCCATGGCTGCCACTTGAGCTGATCTGCGGTGACATGCCTGCCACCACCTCAGACCTCTACAGCTTCTGCATCCTGGCACAGGAGGTCTTCACCGGTCAGTGAGTGGCTCTGCCCCCTGCCCCACTGACACACCCCGCCCGTCTGGGTCCTCTAATCATGCTTCCTCACAGGAGAACTGCCCTGGGCTGGGAGAGAGGGGTCTGAAGTGAAAGCCAAGCTGGAGGCAGGTGAGAGTCCGGCCCTGGACCCCCTGGTCCCAGCCCCCTACCAGGCCCTGGTTCGAGCTGGGCTGGGCCTGGGGCCTGCTGACCGCTGGGGCAGCCTGCAGAGTACTCGATACCTGCTGCGGGAGGCCATGGCCCAGGTACAGGACAGGCCAGCAGGGGCTGGAAGGTGGCCATGGAACCCAGGCACGGCCCGTGTCCCCATGCCCCCTCCTTTCCACAGGACTCGGCTCCTGAGGGGAGCGGGAGCTCTCTGATGGAGGGGACCACACTGTCCCCTGCACCCCAGGATTCCCCACCAGGTTAGAGGCAAGGAGGGGATGGTGTCAGGTGACAGGAACAGCTGAGCTGTGCCCCCGTCCAACTACCCGGCTTGTCTCTGTAGAGAAAGTATACTGTGAAGTGGCTTCCAGAGTCAAGACAGCATCCAGGCCTCTGCTGCTTGTGACGGCCCCAGGCCCCACCCCATCCCAGGTGGGAGCCAGAACGGTGATGTGGGGCACCATAGGAGCTGCAGGACACCTGGGCAACACACGCCAACTCTCTGCCTCTACTTTCTGCAGGCCCCAGAGACTTCTGAAGTCACGAGCCACAGCAGGGTGCCCAGGGGCACAGCCTGGAACTCTGGCAGCAGCTTGACTCTAGGCAGCAGCCACAGCCCCAGCCCTGGCCTTTGTCCAGGCCCCCCCGCCAGGGCCAGCCTCAACTGCTTGGAGCCCAGCTCAGAAGTATGGATACCCCCGGAGCCCTGAGCTACCACTGACCCGTTGCTAACCTGTGACACGCCCCCAGCCCTAGTAGTCACCAACCCCAGGTTCTCTAGCTGCCTCTCCTCTGATCAGGAACACCCAGAGACTCCCAACTGTCCCCTCACTCACCTGTGACCCCTGAGTCCCCGAAGGCCCCTGCCTGCAGTCCAGCCCTCAAGACTCAGCATCCCTGTGGGAGACCCAGAGCTCTGTGGAGCAGTTTGAGAGGAAGTTCTCAGCGAAGACCCAAGCTCTGCAGGGGCTGCTGCCACACACGCACAGGGTTACCCTGCGGGACCCCAGCCCTGAGCCCGCCCCTTCCTGCTGAGCCACAGGGAGGCTTCCCACGCCGTGGGAGGCTGCTGGCAGGGAAGGTCCCGAGGGCAGGCTAAACAGAGAACCCTGTGCCCATCCCAGCCTTCCAGTCTCCATCTGTAGCTACCCGGTGGCAGCTCCAGCCTTTTCCCCTGCAGGCACCTGGCACTGAGCTGACTGCAGGAAGTCTCTCCTCCAGCTCAGAGAAGTGAGAAAGGGGCCCTGGGCGGGGGGTCCCTGGGCCCCTTCTTAATCCTTGAAGTAACCTGTTCACCCACACCGTACTACTCCACAGGATGGATCTGCTGGAGGAGATCGTAGCAGAACTGCAAAGAAGATGCCAACTCGGAGACAAGCCCAGCTTCCGCCCCGCTCCTGACACCGATTCCTAGGGTGCCCAGACCCTCTCTCAGCACTTACTGCCCCTCGCAGCCTTCCAGGAGGAACTTCCCACTTAGTGCCTGCCCCAAAGGAAATATAATAAAGCAACCCATCCGCCACTGTTTCTTCATTCATTGAGTCTGGTTCCGGCATGACACCAGCAGCCACATTTTCACCATTTTAATTCATTAATTTTGTCAGATGATTTAGTGGGACAGGTAGGGAGAGAGGGCAGGAGCTGTTTCCCCACCCCCTGTGCACAGGTCAGGACATGCTGGGGGCTCCTGAAGGGAGAGGGAGGACAGGTGTCAGCCCAGCCCTCCCTCGGATTTGTGCGAGGGCCCCCAGGATGGAGGATGGCGGGGGATGGGTCAGCCCGGGGCAGGGAAGCCATTTTTGCAGGTTAGGGACCCACATCAGATGCAAGTTACAAAGTTAGAAACTTCGGCAGGGGCAGGAGCTCAAGAAAGTACAAAACGAGGGACTGGGCGGGGCGAGGTCCACGGAGGGAAAGGAAGGCAGGAAGGGCCCTCCCGCTCCAGCTCAGCAGTAGCTTCGAGTCTGGCCCTCGGCGTGGAGGGACCAGCTGGGAGTCGGGTAGGGGGGTGGGGGGCCAGCCCCCTCCCCTCTTTGCCCTCCATTTCTGTACAGGGACCCCCGGGGGAGCTCGCCTCCCCTCCCGTAGGCTGGCGGGGCTGCCCTGTAGAGCAGAAGCGGCTCGGGAGGGCCCCAGGGTCCAGGCACCCTGTGAGGGGTG